GATTATTGATTCGACTAGAGGGTCTTATTCCTACCTTACCTTATATATACTATCATCATAAAGATCTTGTTCCGGATCAATTCCAAACCCTATCTCATAGCTTTAGTCAATTATATAAAAGATTCCAAAACGTAAATCAACGACCCCGAGTCTTTTTTTATTGAATTATGGGTTCCAGTCCTACCTTATTCTTCTCGGTGCATATTATCATATAGAAAGAAGCGAAGTGAAGAAGGTCCCAAGGGTTAAGGTGGTAGCCAGAGAAAGAGAGGACATAATGACTCGACTTTTCAAGATAGGAAAGCAAAATCCATAGAGAAGAGTACACTAAAAGCACAGGAAGGAAAGCCCGGCTCGATAAGAGTGATGATTCTGCATCTCGAAAAGCACCCTCCAAGTTTGACACCAACCTCGTCTTATATACGCTAATTCTGCCGTCTGCAGGTCCTCAATCTTCACGCGAAAGCAACCTCCTCGCAAGGGGGGACGCTCATTTCGACCTAACTACTCTCACCCTGTCGAGGCCCGAGTAAGGGTTTTGGTGGGGAAGGAACTTGTTAAGCCATAGAGTCTTGTTATTCCCGTCTGCTGCCTGCACCTCATTCATTTTCATGAATGTCGTAAGTGAAAGGTGTTATTAACATAAAGTTGTTTGATTTGCCAGCCTTGGCCTAGAGCAATGGAGAGGACTGTTCGTATAGTAGTTGGTTTGACAACTGGCTCATAAACATGCCATTAAACGCTAAGAAAACAGCCTTCTCATGAAAGTCCCTCAGTGGGTTAATTGTTTGTGATCCTTCCGATGAAGGGAAGGATTTAAGTTCTCTTGTCAAGGAAAGAAAGACTAAGTAAAGGCAGACAACGAGGCGAAGATAGCAGACTTGCCTCGAGACAGGAACATAGGGACATTGCTCCGGACTAGTTAAGTAGTTGAGCCCGGTTCCTCCGCTTGGCGAGCTTCTCTTTGCTCCTAGTAGACTACTAGACATATTGTCTACTCTGCTTTTATGGAAGAGCTAAGTCCAGGAAGGGCTCTCCAAAGTCAATAGTCAAGCTTTCGAACTCGCCTTGAAGTTGATGAATGATTGCAAGGCTAGCAACAAGCAGGCTCGCTTATGATCTGCTGAAATAGTACATCCGTTTTTTTTTGATTAATCCCTCAGATTCATGAAGCAGATTGTCGAAAAAGGGCTTTCTGCAAGCAGGAAAACGGCCTTTTTGACGATCCACAGGTTGTAGCTTGACCCCGGTCTCGAGACTTCCCAAGTCACTGAGTCTTTGATAAAGTTGTAAACAAAAGGAGTATACCCTATCCAATAATATCTATTTTCAAAAGACTTATAGTTAGTAAGACACCAAAATAACTTAATTTAAGCTAAAAGTTGATTTAAGCTGTTTTTAAGTGCTACCAAACAAGCACATACACACGCGAAAGAAAATTGGAAGGACATTTCAATACTAAGACATACCTAGTTAAAATCAATTTTTTTTTTTTAAAACTTTCGATGGGTACTAAAAGATCAAAGGAGTTGGTGGTCATCTTTAAAAAAAAAATTTAAAATTTTGTTTGGTTCAAAAAATTTCCAAAAGTACTTACTCTCTCCTACATGTTAATCAATCACTTTTTCTCTCTCCTCTCTCATTCTCAATCACTTTTTCTCTCACACATATCTACTCAATTACAACAAAATATCAAATCATTCCAAACTCTCAAACTCCAAAAATATTTTCTAAATATCCAACCAAACAAATTAAAAAAATTTCTAAACTTTCTCCCCAATTTTTTTTTTTGAAAATTTATCTCAAAATACAAACCAAACCCACCATTGTGTCAATAAATACCAATTCAAATGAAGAGATGTCTCAAATGAAACCCTGTCAATCTTAAATTTTAATTTATTTTACTCCAGTGTTTTATCTTCTGTAATTGAGAAAATTTATTGTTGAATTACAATTTTCTATGTATTTATTTATTGCTATAAGGGACATTCTTTCCGTATTTATAAATTGAAATTATGATAACGTAGGTTAAGGAAAAGATATTGATGACATTGTATTTATGATCATATTTTAAGAAATGTTTATTATAGCAATTATGATAGTCACAGTGAACCTTGTTTTGGCCTAGTTGTAGTATTATTTTGTAGCGAGAGATTGTGGGTTCAACTTTTACAAGGAAGAATTTGATATCACTAATCATTACAAGATACAATGACAAGTGGAATTTTTAATGTTGTAAAAATTGAAAAATGAAAATAATGAATTAAGATTTTTTTTCATAGACATCTCATTGCTCTATAAATAACGTCAAATTGACCAAATTATATGGTGATGATGTTCTTAAGATTTGTTCTTCAATTTCCTTTCTTATTAAGGTGTGGTTTGTTTAAAAAAAAGAAAAAAATAATAATAATAACAATAATAATAATAATAATAATAATAATAATAATTTGGACTATTTCCCCAATATAGTTTAGCTAACTTAATTAAGTTGTATAATTATTATCATTATCATTCTAATTGAGAGTTCACGCTCTCAATCATTATCATTCTAAGAGCATCTCCAATGCATCCTCTATATCTTCAAATATAGAGGATTTGTTGCTCCAATCCATCCTCTAAATCCATCTCTATTTGGGAGGAGGATGAGTTGATCCTCCAAATATGAAGGGAGGATGAAAAATAGAGGATGTCCTCTAAAATACTATTCATTTTATATTTTTTATTATATTACAAATAACTTTTAATATGTCAATTTAATTTTTATAAAATTGACATCATTAAAAAATATGAAATCATACCTTTAAAATGAGTATAATATTAAATATATTTTACAAAAACTTTAAAATTAAATATTTGTTAATGAACAAAAATTACTTTTTGATGAAGGGAGGATGAAGGGTTTTGAAGGTTTGAATTTAAATGAATAGTAACATGCTCTATATTTACTTTTGGAATAAAAAAAATTATTTTCATCCTCTTGGTGAGATGATTGGGTTGGAGATGCTCAGAGGGTCTTTATTTTAAATCCAAAATATAGAAAAGAAAATGAACGATTTTATTAAATTATTTATTTCTTCTTCAATTTGTATTGTTAAACTTTCTTAAATATTGATGTTCAAATTTGTATGTTGATAATATATATATATATATATTTTCTTACCCAAAAAGAAAAAAAAAATACACTCAAACATTTTTTAAAATTGACATCATTAAAAAATGTGAAATCATACCTTTAAAATGAGTATAATATTAAATATATTTTACAAAAACTTTAAAATTAAATATTTGTTAATGAACAAAAATTACTTTTTGATGAAGGGAGGATGAAGGGTTTTGAAGGTTTGAATTTAAATGAATAGTAACATACTCTATATTTACTTTTGGAATAAAAAAAATTATTTTCATCCTCTTGGTGAGAGGATTGGGTTGGAGATGCTCAGAGGTCTTTATTTTAAATCCAAAATATAGAAAAGAAAATGAACGATTTTATTAAATTATTTATTTCTTCTTCAATTTGTACATTTTTTAAAATTTAAATAAGAGGGTCTTTTCAATTTGCGTGCAACAAAAAAATAAAAATCAATTTTTTAACAAAAACATGCATTGAATTCACTCACAGTCAAACTATTATTGATTGAACAATGCTATATGTACCAATTAATATACTAATTAGTGTATTAATTGATGATGTAACAAAATTTAAGAGATTTTTGGTATTTGTAATCTGTATAATGAGTGGAGTCAATAATAATGTTATAACTAGTGTTGGTATATTAGTTAGTACACTAATTGATGCATATAGCACTATCATTGTTGAATTCCCAAAATTATCCCTCCATTTAGTTTTATTAAATGCATAATTACTTATTTAGAAATAAGAATGTTGTAAAATCAAAGGTGAATTAATTTTTAAAAATCAAGAATGACCTGTACACTTAAAAAGGTTGAATTCATCTAAAAAATCAAAGAGTTGAATGGAAGAGCAGAAATGTTTAGTGTAATTAGAGCATCCAATAAATTTTGAAAGCATTTTTTGTATGTACACTCCCACTAGATTCTCTATTTTAATTATTACTAACCCCACCTAGTATAAAAATTACAATATTCAAAATCTCTAAAATTATACCACATCATTTGTTAGTATACTAATTAATACATTAATTGATACATATAATATTATTCCTATTTTAAAATTTAATTTTATGAAATATTCATTTTTATAATATGCTGGATAATATAAACAACCCTGCCTAAAGCAGCTTTTAAAAGGTTTTAGGAAAAGTTGTCATATTCATCAAAATAATAATAATAATAATGGTGCACAGCCGACCATATGGTTGAATGTTCGACCGGATGATTGACCGGATGTCCAATAATAAATGATAAATTATTGTATTTCATATTCTTAAAAAAAAAAATGGTGTAGCAACCGGTCATCCGGCAGAATGTCCGGTCACGGTTAAAAATAAATGATAAAATATTTTTTTGTATAATCTGTAAACAGTGCATCATCACATGTAGTGGTTTACTTTAGAAATGCCAAATTTAATTTTGGTGTAGGGAGACTAATGGAAATGCCTCTTCTGCTCATTTTCAAAATATTATGAAAAAAAGCCTTGGAACGCAGACAACTGAAAATTTTATTGAGTGATCTAAGTAAAATGAAGAACATAAAAAAATTGGTACGTACATGGTATATTCAAATTGGTTTTAATATAGGAACAAAATCAAGTATAAAAAAGAAAGTAAAGAACAGATCTGACTTTGATGGGGTAAAGAGGGTAAAAAAATAAAATCTATGCAACAAAGGAATCCTTTTCTATCATTCCATTCTTAACTCTATGGTGTCATATTTTTTTTAGTATATTATATGAAACCAAACCACAAAGAAAAACAGATCAGTAGAGGAGAAGAAAAAGAAGAGGAAGAGGAAGAGGAAGAAGAAGAAGAAAATGGGTTCAGCGTGGACATGTTGTGCGACTCTTTGCTTATTCTTAATGTTGTTATCTTTGGTGTGCATAACTGATGCCCGAGGAGGAGGAGGAGGAGGTTGGCAGCCAGTGTTTTTTGATGTAACCCAGTTTGGTGCTGTGGCAGATGGCAAGACTGACAACTCCATGGTATCTAATCTATCTATTTCTATGCAGTGTGCAATACAGTCTCGTGATAGTATTAATTACATTTTTTTATATTTTTATTAAAATCTCACTTTAATCACTTCACTTTAATTTTTAACACCTCCATACTTTTATCAAAATAATTTTTAAAATGGTGTCATAAAAAAGTGCCCAATTAATTATAACTTGACTAGAAATTTATGTGTTGATTGATACAATTAAACTAGGTGTAAAGTAAAAGCGTAAAAAGTGAAATTTGTCTAAATGTGTGCGATACAATATGGTACGTATCAACTGATATATGTGACCTGTATTATATTGATAGGCATTTTGGAAAGCATGGAACGAAGCGTGCCGTTGGAAGGAAAGAGTGAGGATATGGATAGTCCGCGGGGGACTACATGGGTGAATTCTGTAATATTCAGGGGACCATGCCAAGGACCAATGGTGCTTTTGATTAATGGGACGCTTATGGCTCCTTCTGATCCGAAACTGTTCATGAGTGACCATTGGATTGGGTTCCAATATGTCGATGGATTGGTAATAAAAGGAGGTGGAACTTTGGATGGACAAGGTCTTTCTGCTTGGTCTTACAATGATTGCTTCACTAATTCTCAATGCAAACCCCTTCCAGTTGTACGTTCTTCTTGCTCTTAACCTTCTACCATATCATCATATATATACACACAAAATCTTTATTCTAATCAAATGTATGGAATAAAATAAATTGTTATTTATTTTTCCCATTTCGCTTCACTTTCTATTATTTTCACTTTTCAACATATATTTTTTTTAATAATCTAAGGGACATCAAAGCAATTGTTTATATAAATCTATGTAAATTGTAGTACATTTGCAAGTGTCGTTTTAGGGATCTTTAAGTATTTTTCTTTATTATTATTAAATTTGTTTTAATATTCGAATATTATCTATTTCTATAAGGGTTTATACAAGAAAAATATTCAATAATTGTGAATTTTTCGTATTGGAATTGTTTCTACCTTCTTGATCATTCTTCCGTTTTTGGGTCTTGTTCTATTTCGTTATTTGTATCGTTCTTGATAGTTTAGTGGTACACTGTGGATCCAGATTTTGGATGAAATTTCACAAATGCCAGTGTTTGAATAATACTACAAAAAAAATAAAATAATGAAATTTAAGAAAACAGAAATTGATCTCAAAATCAGACACAACTCTTTCACATAAGGTGAGTCTTACTTTTTTGTGAGTCCTGGATTCATGAGAAAGGATTCTATGTAGTATTGTGATTGATTTCTGTACAAATAGAAGAACCTATACAATAATTAAAGCTAAATAAATTTGGGTTTAAGTTCTATTCCTTGATGAAATGTAAGGACTTATTAAATCTTGATGGTGATGTTAAATTTGAATTGGATTGGATCAGACAATGAGGTTCGATTTTGTGAACAATGCAAGGATTCGCCACATAAGATCAATTAACAGCAAGAACTCACACTTCAACATTTTTGCCTGCAACAATCTCAACATGAGCCACATTAAAATCTCAGCCCCTGAATTCAGCCCCAACACAGATGGTATCCACATTGGAAGCTCAAACAACATCAAGATCGCCCATTCCGTCATTGGCACCGGCGATGACTGCATTTCCATGGTCTCAGGGAGTCAAAACATCGACATTTCTGATGTCTCCTGTGGACCTGGACATGGCATTAGTATTGGTAGCCTTGGAAGGTCCCCGTATGAAGAACATGTGACCGGTATAACCATCAGAAACTGCACTCTCAACGGTACTCAAAATGGGGTCCGGATCAAGACATGGGCGCCTTCTTGGCCTAGCGTTGCTTCAGATTTCAAGTTCGAAAATATTTTCATGAGCAAAGTGAACAATCCCATCATCATCGATCAACAATACTGTCCTAGGCCCAACTGTGATGAAAATGTACGTATACTCGGTTTATTTTGGCGAAAAATATTTTATACGGAAAAGAAAAAAGTTTTCAAAGAAAATGGTTTTCTATATTTGGTTGTGAGCAGTAGTGATGGTGGTAGTGGAAAAAATTTAGTTAAAAAAACATTTTTTACTTTTCAAAAGTGGAAAATATTTTCTATTCAAATAAACTTATTACCTGCTACTCACAGAAACCTTTTTCACTGCTACTTACAGAAACCTTTTTCACGTACTCTCATTTTCCATTGTACCAAATGCTAGAAAATAAGGAAAATGTTTTTGGCAAAACAAAACCTAAGTACTAATTTGTTTTACTCTATGAAATTTTCATTTTTCATTATGCACTTGTTAAATTAAATTTCATATTTTTTTTCTTTTATTCTTTTTTTCTTTCCACCCCTCTGTTTATAGGCTCAATCTGAAGTTCAGATCAGCAATGTGACATTCAAGAATATATGGGGGAGTTCAAGCTCAAAAGTAGCAGTGACGCTAAAATGTAGTAGGATTGTACCTTGTGAGAACATCACGCTTGTGAATATCAATTTGTCATATGATGGCCCTGGTGGAGGACCTTCATCTTCTTTTTGTTCTAATGTCCGAGGTCAAACTATTGGTACTCAAAACCCACCTGGTTGTCTATAGTCCTTTTTTGCTTTCAATTGTTGTTTTCACAACTTAGTTTTGTGAAGGGCCATAATGCAAATAACAGTTGCCTTTGTTTGTAGAGATTGATGAGTAATTGCAAGAAATCGGACTTGCATTTTGAATTGAGCTATAATATGTTACTCAAGTAACTTCTAATAATTTCCAAAATGCATACAACCATGACTGAAATATTAATAAAAACAACACATTTGTAAATCATTTGTCAAATTGAAATGAACGACTTTAGACCTATCCAAACTGATCTAAGCTAGGTCATTGACAGTGTTCGCCCTGGTGCCCATGAATACACTTGCGGTGGCAGTGCCCCATTTCCTAGCATGTTTTGTGGCACCCCATAAATATCTGACACGTCGATGTGATGCTGCTGCTGACGCACTGCAGCAGCAGCAGCCACTTCATCATTGTCCAATGGCAACCTATCAAAAGTGGCATTCATGAACGATGCAGCCATGATTACGACAGGTCCTGAAGCAATAAGTGCCCCCACCACAACCCCACCAACGACCTGACCTTGTGCCCCTGCAATGTAAATGGTTAGGCCTGTGACCCCAGGTGGGGCCGGCGGAGGCAAGATAGATCCGAGCAGTGACAGTATCTCAAACCGGCCATGGAGGGTCACAATTGCCCCTGATGAGGCCGGTTGGCGCAGCGTGACGTTCATGACACAGCCAGTCACGCTGAGCACGCAGATGCCTCGCTGCTTCCGCCGTGCAAAGTTAGCCAAGCTTTCACTTACATCGCATCCAGAGCTCACCTCCATGGCGTGAGCTCGAAGGGCGTTAGCACTGTCCCGGGTGATGATAATGGGCGGCTTGGGCTTGTTTCTTGAGCCAGCTGGCCTGCCACGTGGCCTCCGATGAATGTTTTCTCCCTCAGCTTGTGATGACAGTAGTACCGGTATTGACTTTGGGACTTTAGGCGCCATTAGTAACCCCCTTGCTTCTGAATTGTTGTTCATCGCGCTTTTGGACCCGGTGGAAGGGAGAGTAAGGTCAGCACTGCCAGCCATTCACGTAGTCGACGAGAACATCACCAAACCTGTCTTTGGAAATGATGAGTTTAAGTAAGGAATTTCGGCCATAAATTTATGACAAAAAATCAAAAGAATGATTGAGGGTTAGGAGATGGTTAAGTAAGCGCAAAACCTGTAATTAATAATCTATTTCTATTATATGATTTTTCTTCCCAATGCCTAACTCTCAACAGACTTTTCTCTCATGTCAATTGTCTTTCCTAACAAATTCCCAAAATCTATATAAAAGTATTCAATTTAAGGCAGATCTTATTACAAGGAAATGAAAGTTTATTGATCTAGAAAAACAAATTCATACCAAATTGTTCCTGAACAAAACAGACAACAATGAAGAGAACTGAAAAAAAAAGGGGTCAGAAAAAAAAGTGAGTCCAAATAACATCTTGTAATGCTGACCAAAAGTCTACATTTTGAGTCCCTGCAGCATTCCAAAAGAACAAGGCAATTAAAGGATTTTGGCAAGCAATTAATGCATTATTCTTAATAACTAAAACAATTACAGGTAGATTTTCTTTGTAAAGTGCAATGTTGGAGACTCTAATCTGTTTTACTTTACATTCTACTTTTGAAATCAATCCGTACCTTAACAATAGATGAGCACAGTACAAAATTCCAAAAAACAAGCTTAACATTGATCTTGAGCCAGACCCATTAACCCACATAGCAGGACCATCACTCTGTTACCACAATAAAACAAGGGATTATACAATACTGAAAAACAGGAAACGGAAGGTATATGGAACAAGAATTTGGTCCTATTATATGCAATGCAAGGTCAATCATGGAACTATTCACTCCACTCCTTTACTAAATATTCTCATATTTAACGACGCAAGAAAATTCTTTCATAGCCCAAGACATTTTATACTGTTTCCCAATTTTAAGACAGTATATTTTTTTCCGTTTTCTGTTCTGTTTGCCAAATCTGATATCTTGCATTACTCCGACAAAAATTGTCAATCACCAACAAACTCATCTAATAGAATATATTACTGCATTAAAAATGAGTAAGAAGAAAGATCATATGCGTGAAAGTTTTTATTGTTTCTCTTTTATGCATTTTTCACTACTTTCATCCTAATCAAGCTCAACAAATTTTAGGATCCCATGATGCAAATTCACATCCAATACAAAATAGAGTTTGAATAGAAAAATTGGAAATTTGGCCATAAAACCCTCCTAACTTCCTTTTCTTGTTAAAAGGACAGAAAAAAAATAAAAAAAATTAATACTTTCAAAACCCTCTCATAATTATATAGTCCTGTATGAAGGACAAAATTTGTTATTTAAATATTTTATTTGACACTTATACCCTCTCTTTCTTCTCTTTTTTTACAGCTCTCTCTCTCTCTCTCTCTTCACCAACTCGATGTTGTTCATCATCTCCACCAGCTTCATCGTCTATTGGCATCGCTCATCCTTACCGTCGGTTGGCAACCACCATTTTTACCTCAAACCACCACCATCTCAGATTTGGTACTCATATTTAAGATCAATAACTTCATATTTGAGATTTAAAAAAAAAAAAAAAAACTTAGATTTGACAGAAAAATGAGAAATCGAGATATTAAAATGAAAAATCAAGAGTTTTTTTTGTTTGTTTGTTCATAGATCTAAAAGTTAAATTTGACTCTGACTCGTTCATTTAATATTCAAAATAAAATTTTACTCTTTTATTTTTTATTTTTTATTACAAATTAAAATTTTACTCTGAAACAAGCTACGAGGATGGCTTTATAGAAGAGTGTTGTGTCATGAACCAAAGTAAAATTTTACTGTTGGAATGACAGAACATCATGAGAAGAAGAAAGAGAGAGAGAGAGAGAGACAGAGTTCGAAAACAGATGATCAAGAAAAGAAGAAGTAGAGAGAGAGAGAGAGAGAGAGAGAGAGTGAAGTATCTCAGATTTGAGGTTTGCGAACCGTCGCAAATCGTCATTTTCCGGCAACGACGACTGTGAATGATCTCAGATCTGAGGTTATGGATGCAACAAGTAACGGTGGCGATGAAGACGGTAGAGAAAGAGCTCCATGGTGAATGGCGGTAGCATCCGGTGGAGAGCTGCGATGATGCCGATGAAGAGTAACAGTGATAAGATCGAGACAAAAAGAAGAGAGATTGAGATAAGAGAGAGTGATTGCAATCTGATATACACACCCACACACACACACACACACACACACACACACACACACACATATATATATATATATGAGGGTATTATAGTAAAAAAAATAAGTTTTAAAATACTAGAGGGTTTTGAAAGGATCTATATAATTCTTGTCATTTTGAAGGACAAGTTAGATATTGAGCGGTCTGTCACCAAATCCCCCTAGAAGAATTTGTTGCACCTTGGAACAAAACAGACTATTTCTTTGTAAAATGTCAATTATCCTGGAAATTTTACCGAATTTGGGTCGAAAACAAGTTGTTCATCATCTTGTAACATCAAGCTCAAGTCATTCAGTCATTGGATAGATAATATATTTCTTGGATTTGAGGATTTAAGCTCCTCCCACCAGCTACAAACTCATGAACTACTCCATCTATTTCAATTGAGCTGCATCCCGGTTGCTTCTTTTTCATTGCAATCCTCTCTGCCATCGCTTTCTCAAATTCACCAGATGCTGCATAGAAATTGGACATTAGCACATGCCCACAGCTCTCGCTTGGATTCAACTCAACTAATTTTTTCGCCACCCGTTGGCCTATCTCTACATTTCCATGCTTCCAGCAAGCTGAAAGTAAAGACCCCAATATAACTTCATCAGGGCTCATTGGCATACTTGTCATTATAACCTCTTCTGCTTCTTTGACTAGTCCTGCCCGCCCTAGTACATCAACCAAACAACCATAGTGCCTCATTGACGGTTCAATATTGTGTTTCTTGGTCATTAAGGTGAAATATTCTCCTGCCTTATCAACCAAACCCGAGTGATTACAAGCCGTTAGAACACCTATAAAACTAACACAATCTGGTTTGTGTTCTGACAACGATTCAAGCCTTGAGAAAAATTGCAGTGCTTCTTCTTCACGCCCGTTTGTCGCTAACCCTAAAATTATTGAGTTCCAACATGACAATCCTTTCAGTGGGGCTTTCTCAAACACCTCAAGACCCTTTTCAATACAACCGCACTTGCAATACATGTCTATAATTGCTGTAACAACAATCACATTATTCAAATCCATATCCTTCTTCCTCATATAATCATGAATCCATTTGCCTTGCTTAATTGCTCCTAAGCAAGCCGAAGCGTTCAACAAGCTCACCATTGTAAACTCACTCGGTTCAACATTCTCCGATTGCATTTGGTTAAAAAGGTCTAATGCCTCAACCCACTTGCCATTCCTAACATACCCACTGATCATACTATTCCATGAAATTTCATTTCTAGTTGGCATTTTATCAAACAGTCTCTTTGCATACTCAATTTCCCCACTTTTCGCAAGACCCATTATCATCGAATTCCACGCAACGATATCAAAATCATCATCTTCATCAAACAATTTACAGGCCTCTAACAAAAACCCACAATTCGCATACATATTTAAAACAGTGTTTCGTATAAAGGGATCAAATTGAAGACCCTGTTTGATGATTCTGGCATGAAGCTGAGCTCCATCACGAGCTAAACCCAGTTGAGAATAGGCCTTGAAGAGTGATGGGTAAGTGAGATTTTGTGGTTGAATTGGTGAAGAAACCAACATGTCAATGAAGAGAGAGATTGAAATTTGTGGAGTTGAGCTATTAGAGAAGCCTCTGATTATAGTGTTCCAAGTGAAGAGATTTGGATTGTGAATTTGAGTGAAGACAAGGTAAGCATAGTTCAAATCCCCAGATGGGTTGGTAGCGCAAAAGGCTAATACGCGACTGGAAGCAACAGTGTCTTTGGCTAGACCAATCTTGATGAGTTGGGCATGAATTGTTTTGAGGTTGGTCATGGACTTGCATTGTGTCTCTAGCATGGAAAGGTAAGGTTGGTCAGAGATGAATTTGGAGATAGAGGATGACGATGATATTGGAATTAGAATTGGTATTGGAATTGGTGGTGTCAAACAACAAAAACTTGGTGCCATTTTTTTCTCACACTTCCTTTCCAATTCTGGGTACTACCTCATAGATTGATGACTAGTGCTTGAACAGAAGGACTGTAATTTGTGGTCACTCATCGTTACCCCATTAGCCACAATGGATAAGGTGCATCATCTCATTTGGCTGCATGCACCTTTATTGTCATTTTAAAAAAAATAATTTAATTGTAACAAACTAATCGACGTCACGTGAATTTGTTCTTAGACTTTTTCTTAATGTCTTTTCAGCTTATCAATAAAGTCGTATTATTAGGTCAGGCAATGAATGTAAAATCCAAACCTACTAAAGACAAAATAGGTTTGGGAAGATGAGTTATGAATTTTTTTGGCTATTTTAGTCACAAAAGACAAAATAGGTTATTTTAGTCACAACAAACAAAATATCACATCCAACACATAATCATTACACTATTCTCTCACAAAAAAAAATCAAAAAGTCTTTTCCAAACCAAATTTTTTAACCCAGACTAAAATAGTCAAAAAAATAAAAAAGCCAACCCACTTCTCAAACCACACCTTGACGATTTAAGATTTAAGTCTTATTTATTTTTATTTTTTTAAAAAATAATTTTCATAATTTTTTAGGGCTTGTGAGCCAGGCCAACGGCCAAGCTTCAAACCCAACGCTTAGCCGGACTGCGGACGCCAAATGTTGAGGCTTACCTTCAACCATTCTCTCATGTCTTCTTGAGCTTAAGCCCATCACCAAAAGTGAAGATAATTCCCAATTATCTTGACCCCACAAGTGCAAGCGGAATATTAATTTGAATGAAACAAATATGTCAAAACTCACCAAGTACGTTATCTATATCTCCCATTACATAATTGTGCCACGTGACAACACTCTATAGATTAGTCATTTTTTAAGTGCAAACATTCACGCAATGCACTTTCCATATATTAGATTATAGTACTCCCACTAATATAGCAGCAGATTAAATCCTTTCCCCACTTTTTGTGCATGCTCGCGATACCATTTTTTCAAGTTTAATGTCAAATCTGATTTGGTCTATCCACATTCTTTTGGGATGATTGTCTACATTTTGAGAATGGTTTAGATCCAGTAATATTACAAATTTTTGAAAGAAAAAAAAATAAAAAAAAAGGATTCAAAAAAACACATTAATGGTATTACGACTCATTAATGGCTCATTAATCTACTTTAAAATGTACTTAAGGCATTACCACTAAGGATTATTTTTTGTTGGTAAGAAGGACCCGTCTTTAGACTTTTGGGACACTTAAGTCCGAAAACCTTTTATTTCTACACACCATTTACTCTCCGGTCATACGCTTAGTTTTTATTTGTATATTAATCTTTTTTATGCCATAAATAATGTCCACTTGTTGAGTTTTTTCTTAACTTATCCAGACCATTTAATGGGATGAAAATGGTTTTTTTAGTCATAATAGGGACTGTTAATTAAGATACTTTAAGTGTCTTTAACAAACACAGTCCACATTACTAAGCACCAATGTGGGGCAACGATCAAGTAATGCCTTTCACATGGAGGTTAAAGTGGACCCTAAGATGATTATATATACCTATCCCTTGGAAATTTTTGTAACCAATTGGTCAAAAGCGCAGTTTTAGCTTATGACTTTGGGCCATCATCACTTTAAAGTTCATTTTCAACCATTTGGTTTACTTTTATAACATGGTTCCCAATTAAACTTATATGAGATGGACATAAATCAGTTACACAATCCCAACATAACTTTCGAAGATTGTGACTAATTTTATTATTGATTTTTATATTTTTTAGACTTTTCTTTATTTACATGATACAAAAACAACACAATTATCACCTTGCGGCAAAACAGTTCACATTTAAGGGTGAATTGGCTCACTAATCAATTATACCTGTTTTTTAGTATAATAATAGAAGGTTTTCATTAACAAAGTAGCTTTGATTTTGTTAAAACAATATCATTCATATGTACGTATAAAAATATTGAAATATTTTCGGATAAATTACACTAATTGCGGTTTAAGGAAAAAAAATACCAAGTTCTACAAATTTAATATAATTGCACATGCTCATTTAAGATTTTAATTTATTTAACATTATTTTTTTTTCATCGGTCATTTGTTAGTCATATTAATATAAAAATGATTTCATCATATCTTTTATACTAAAATATATAATTTTTCCATTAATTATCTATGTATCTACACATCATCATCTGTATTAGTTTTGTTAAATTTGTCTACAAAGTGAATTTTCTTGCTTTCTTGGAAGAAAAATACATCAGTGCATTCTTTATAGGCCTTATATTGATGTTCATGTCTGGAATGTTCATGTGCTCATTTAATAGAGGCTTTTTCCAAACTAAGCCTAGGTACTGATTTATTTTCTAAACTAAGCTTAATTTTGTTGAATTTTCCAAACTAAGCTGAAGCGTGTTTACAAAACACGCTTTCAGCATGCTTTTGACCCAGATGGACAAAATAAACAAAATCATAAAAACGTGGTTAGAAAATACGACTTTAATTAAGAAAATGTTGTTGCTATTAGGGTTTTCAGGTTTAAATAATAGCACGATTTGGAAACACGATTTTAACAGAAAGCCATTATAAAATGGCTCACCCCCCCTCATTTGCAACCACGCTTTTAAACACGTCTCTTTCTTTTCCCCCAAAAAGGGCCAGTGCTCCCCAAGGCGAAATACTAGGGCGAATAAAACCCTTATCTAGTAATTTCTGGAGCTGAACCTTCAACTCACTCAACTCAGCTGGGGCAAAACGATACGGTGCCATGAAAATCGGTGCCTTGCCAGGCACCAAATCAATAGAGAATTCAATCTCTCGGTGAAGTGGTAAACTAATAAGATCCTTGAGAAAGACATCCAAGTACTCACAAACCACTCTTGGCAATTCAACATGGACTTCATCACACTCACTACTCATAAAGCTAGCGAGAAGGTAACTAAGCTTATTCCGCCCGCGTGGATTATATACTGGTGGTAAAACTCTACCAACCCGATCCCCCAAGAAATGAAATAATTGCCGCTCAAGGTACATACAGTAACCTTTTGACGGTAGTAATCTATAACAGCCCGGTATGACGATAACTAGTCCATACCCAAAATTACATCAAAACCAGTCATATCCATCAACACAAAAGAAAATGGAAGCTGATGATCGGCGACCTTTATATCACAGCCTTGACACCCCTGTTTCAAAATCATTTCACCTCCAACGGGTGATACAACACATAAAAGAGATGCTAACTGTGCCAACTCCAACCCCAAAACTGATGCAAATGCAGAAGATATAAAGGAATGGAATGCACCCGTATCAATTAACACATTAGCAACCGAGTTGCAAAACAAAAAAGGTACCTCTCACAACAGACGGAGCTGGTACAAGATCGCGCGTTGTAACAGCATACGCGCGCCCTGTAGGTCTTTGATCTACCTGCTCACTTCTCAGAGCATAAGACTGCTGCACTGAATGAGTTGAAGAGGCTCCTTGATTGGCCCTCGAGGCCTATACCGACTGAGCTGGTTGGTGACTTTGTGTCTGCCTCGAACCAGATGCACCTGGTGTGCCACCCAACTGCGGGCAAAACCTCTTCAAGTCCCTTGCCTGCCCACACTGATAACAAGTGAGCGGCTGACCTCTACCCTGACTCTGGCCCTGATAACGGGCCGAAAATGAAGCTGCTCGCTGCCCTCCTCCCCTCTGTGGGCAAGCTGGAGACTTGTGGCCCAGCTGACCACATTTGAAACAAGTAACGTCTCCCTGATCGCCTCTCCCAGAACTCGAACTCGGCACTGGAAAGGTAGATCTCGAATGCGCTCCCTATGACTGATGAGCATTAGAACTCCTCTGCCTCTTACCGTCCTCCTGACTATCATGACTTCTCTTGGAGCCCTTCATCCTCTCCTCCTCCGTATGCATAATAGTCTTACGATGGGCTGCAGCCTTCACAAGGCGCCCATAATCCCTAATCATGGACCCGACGACTCTGAACATGAGTCCGGTCCTCAATTTTTTCTCGAACTCCAGACAATGGCATCCTCAGTCGCCACTAACTTCGGTGCAAACCTAGACAAGCTAGTAAAGGTGGCCTCAAACTTAGCCACTGGTGTATTCAACTGTTTGAGCTGAGAAAACTGATCCCTTAACTTCTCCCTCACTGTAGCAGGCAAGTACTTGTCCTGGAAAGCTTCAACAAAGGCCTCCCAAGTCCCTCCAATGCGCCCCCGCGCGTACTTCCACCATTGACCCGTGTCTCCCTTCAGCTGGAAGGACACCAAGGTCACTCTCAGACTTCCGTCTTCGATGCCGAGCATCTCAAATGTCTTCGTCATCTGTTTAAGCCACTCATCAGCCTTCAGTGGCTCTTTAGGGTCACCCAAAAACTCGTCCGGATTCGATTGGAAGAACTCCCTCTTTAGAAAAGACGGCCCAGCTTCAGCTACATGGGCATGGACTTAATTCTCATCCCTGAGAATGTCCATAGATTCTCTCAATGCTCCGGCCATTTCATGGGCTAAGGCACCCATGGCCTGTTGACCTACTGGCTCGGCCATGTTGGCCTGACCCACTCCTTCCTACTGCATCGGAATCTCATCCGGTATAGGCATCTCATGCCTCCTAGGTCTACCACGCCTACCACTACGACCTCGTTTTGACATCCTAATAAAGGTAACAAAGAGATTAGCACATTTACAAATGTGTCGAAGCTATCTCACTCGCGTCCTAATACAATGGATAACTGTAATTCACTCCACGTAAGCACATAATCACATAAACACATATGAATTTCATTTTCGGATAATGATCATCCCGTGGTGTTGCTAGAGTTCCAGTTAGAAACGACAGTGATTAAGTACCTTTCTAACGGGACTCCCAGAAACCCATAAACCCGATCAACATCCTAGAAACTAAATCTCATACCTATATAGTCACGTAAACATGTTATTATATAAGCACATAACATCATACTTAAGTCTCTAACAAGCGAGACAAATCCATTGTGGTACTAATCACTTCCCACGTACTCAAAGTATTCAAACCCGGTACGCTTTGATACCAAGTTGTAACACCCTCAAAATATTATATAAATCAACCATTCATAAGATCTATAGGGATTATAGA